GATAGATAGAGAGATGATAGAGAACGAGAGAGAGAGTAAAAGAAAGAAAGAAAGAGAGAGAGAGACAGAGAGACAGGGAGAGAGAGAAAGAGAGAGAGAAAGAGAGAAAGAGAGAGAAATAGAGATAGAGAGATATCTTTTATAACTTTTACAGCTTTACCTAAAGTACCAGGTGCCAATGAGTGTGAGATGCATACGACAAGCCTTATGATTCCCTGAACAATGTTAATGGGAAAAAAATCATTTAAGCACAGAAATATCTGTATTCCTGCTTCATAGATTATTCGAAGGCTTTCGATAAACTAAAAGTTGGACACGATTATATAATTATTTAAGATATTTGGAAAATTAGAAACAGATGGCAAAGCTTTAAGTAAGACTTATTCGGTATTTATATTGGGAACAGAAAGCTGCTGAAAAAATGTATGGAGAAAACAGCACATATTATATAAGCTGATTAGGAGAGGAGTGAAGCAAGGATGTGTTATGTCACAGACCTTTTTAATCTTTCAGTGAAGCAATTCTAAGAAATATAGACTAATGTCCAGGTCTCAAAGCGAATGGGGAACATATAAATAACATCAGATGTGTCGATGACACAGTTTTAATTGCAGATTCAAAAAGGGGACCTTCAAGTACTTCTAGATACTGTTGTAACGGACAGTGAACAGTCTCAATGTCTAAAAGTGATTGGCGAAAATATTAACAAATCAGATATGCAGATGACACAGTCCTACTAGCAGGTTCATAAAACGATTTTCAGTTGCTTCTGCTTCTAGATACGGTTGTAACAGAAAGTGAACGTAAAGGGTCATTGATGAATGTGAAGAAAACAGAATGCTTAGTGATATCTGAAATAAAAAGCCGTGAAACCTTTTTACAATCTCATAAGCAAAAGCGAAAAGACCAATAAAAAAAGCTCAACCGTTAAAAAATTTAGAGTACAGTATAACATTACAACCCATGCCAAAATGTTCCACAGAAATAAAATGAAGAAGCTCTCAGGCTTCCATGTCCTCCCTTTGGTCTATCTCCCGTTCCCGCTCACCCCCTCCCCTCTCCCCTCCCTCTCCTCTCTTTTCCACATGTCCCTTCTCTCTCCCTCTCCCCTCTCCCTCCTCCCCCCACTCATCCCCCTATCTCTCTCTCCCTTTTTTGACAAGTCTATGTGAGGTGATGAGGTAGCCATTTAGCCTCTACAAGTTACCCTCGGACTGTGAGT